TTTCCCTCTGATTTATGGTATATCTCCAAGGATTAGCCATAATATATTTAATAAATTTGGGTCAACATACTTTTAAAGTTTCTGCTAAAGCACATATATACAGTATTGCCAAGTCTCATGATTTTTGGCATTGTTCTTAAAGTCTACACTTTGGGAATGTGAGAAACTTAGCTCTTTCTTGTATATATATATTTATATTTTAAATATATATAAAAGAAAGAGCTAAGTTTTTCACAGTCCCAAAGCACAGACTTTAAGAACAATGCCAAAAATCAGGACAATACTGTATATATAAACATAGTGTATAAACATAGACATTTGTATGTAAGCATGTAGGAAAGTGCAGAGGCTAGACCGTGTACGGCATTCAGAATTATTTTGCACTACACATTTTAGCTTGCTGGCAGTGTCATGCCACTTGAAGAAGTTTTCAGTTATATGAATATAGCAGTAAAACATTCTCATCTGGTGAAGAATGCTGTCACAGGATTCTGAATGGCATAAGAGCAGGGTCACATGAGTATGCGTGTAATTTTAAACACAGTGAACTAAATCCTTCAGCCTGACCTCATTTCTCAATGCAGAATCTAAGTTCGAGGGATGCAAAATCACTTTATTCCTGCCATTCCACTCCCTCTTGTCCCAGCTGCAGTCCAAGCCCAGGGGCCAATTTAGCTGCACTTCCATTTTGACCAACATCAGACCTCTTCTCATTTATATCTGGCTGCAATGGCTTATATAAATCCATTCCAGGAACTGGTGCTGACTGAAGAACACACAGCACTCTAGCCATTCTGTTTTTCCGCAGTCGTGGTCCCTAGGTTGGGGACAGTGAAGGTGTGAAGTATGGGGAAGTGGTGATACTGTGCTACTATATGATACCCATTAATCCTAAGGTGGCTCCATAAGCTGGTGGAGCATTACCAACAGACTTAACAGGGCTAAGGATCTTGCCTAATATATATGGAAGGATTCCCCCAAATAGACTACAGTATTTTTGGTATTCAATTGATGAAGGAATCAGAATAGAACCTTTACCATTAGCTGAGTGCTATAATAGTTAAAAGCATGATCGTTATGAACAGGCTTAAGTTATGTCATCGTTTTTTCCTTAGGACGAGCCCATCTTTGGATGGATGTAGCATGAAAATAAATGAAGATTCAATTTCAACTGCTGTTTTAAATTAGTGTTCATTGTTTGTCTCATCCAACACCTGTTGGCGTCAGTGTAAAGACTGCAAATGGCTTCACTGGGCATTGGATCAGGGTCCATATTTGTTTGAAGTATATCTTGGAAGCATTTTAGTTTCAGCAGTTTATTTTAATATGGGTTAAATTAAACTGTTCAGTTAAAGAAATCTTTGTTTTTCAAAAATCTCTATTAAGCATAATTCATCACTTAGTCATTGTTAATTTTTGAAAGCTTTTGAATTGACACAACATTGTGACAGTTTACCGGCAAAAGAATAGAAATACAAATTTTATGCTAAAACTATATATTTATGTTGTTATACTCTGTAGCTTGTCAGAACTGTAAACAAACATGAATTCAGTAAAATAAAATTTCACACAGGATGTGTACATTGAAAATGAACTACTTTCATTCCCATTCATTTTAATCATTTTTGTTTTATTGTATGAAAAATAATATGCAATCAACCTTTGGTTCAGTCATCCATTTATACATGAATCTCAGCAAGGATTTTGAATAAGAATCCAGGTGAATACTTTCTGCTTCACTCATCATCAGGCCCATGATGAGAGCATCATAATCAAAATGTATTGTTTATCTGACTGCCTTTAATAATAACATGAGATGACTCTTTGTGTTATAGAACTTCATACTTGGAGTTTTCATGGACTGTTAACATCTTTTTAAGTGGTAAATTGTGTAAATGGGACATGAAGGCCATGTAAAGAATTTTCAATGTATGCATTTCATTTCTTTAGCTAAAACATTCACCTGGCATTTTGAGACTATTTTTATTCTTCTGAAAGAATGGTTTCTCAGCATTTATACATATAATGACTAAAACTGTAGCAGCACTGAGCTTTAATAATATACTAGCATTGTGTCATCAAGCAGCAGAGCATTTAGGAAGGTTTAGATGCAGTTTTCCTAATGGTAAAACTGCAAGCAAATACTAGAAAATGTCTTTCGGATGGAGAGCTCTGACATTAAAGTTCTCATTATGAACAGTGATTTGTGTAGAGCAATAGTTTAATATTGCTGAAAATAGCTGACATTTCAGCTTGGGAAAAGAAGTCAGAAAGAAAAGTATTCAGATAAACACATGGTCATTTTCTGTGGCAGAGCATAGATTTATAAGTGCTCTGATATTTGATAGCTGATATCGACACATTTAGGGTCAAGTTTTTATTGAGATATGGGTTTGCCATTCTTGCTCTAGTTCTTGCTGGCACTTCTATTCAGGGGCAATGGAGTAAGCTAGTTAACACCCAGCATATTGCTCCTGATTTAGTGACTGCAGTGGGCCTTTATAGGAGCTTCTATGCTTGATTTACCCACTCTCTTCTCTGGGCATGCCTATGCTTTGCCTCCACTTTTACTTCCCAGCTTACTCCAAGATGCTCTGATACCTGGGGCTGTAGCAGTCAGGTAGAGGGCCTCTTGTTTGATCCAGAGGTGGCCAGCCTAGCTTAGTGCAAAGGAACCATCAAGTGATGCTGAACATGACATAGTTTCTATCTTAGCAGTAATGTGTTCTGGCTCCAAACAATAGTAGCTTGGTTTCAATACACTGGCATAAACAGAATTGAGTCCAGAAGGTAGAGAGCAGACCAGATGCCATTCACACTGGCAATGTATATTCAAGCACCCACAATGCAGCAAACAATACTCTGATTACAATATTTTATGTTTCTTAATATGAAATGCTAAATGCAAGGTGCAGAAGAAAGAACATGTATTTGTATTGTATAAAAACATACCCATGTGAACCAGGCAAATGACCACTTCAACAAAGACAAAACAACTCCCTTCTCCCCCTCAAGGAGCTGGCACAGATGAGAAATAAATTATTTTAAATCTTTTCATTAGAAGGAACCAGATATAAATAGTGGGACCTCAGGGCAGGATCTCAGGTGCCTGAGAGTTCAGAAAACAAATGACCCTCTCCTGAGATTCCCTTAGCAATCACCCAGAGAAGAGAAGCATGAGGCATATCATTTTGCTGGTTCTGGACATTATTTTTTGCCCTTATTTTTCAAACAGCAAGTCAGTTCCTTTGAGTTTTTTAATAAGAAATCTAGTTTGCTGTGTGAGCTGTGAAGGCACATGTGTGAAATTAGAAATAACGATCTGTACATGTGGATTGAGAAGCAAATCCGTAGATAGCAATCTAGGGCTATGGGCATGTTAAAAGAGAAGTGAAGCTTGAGGCAGAAACCTGAAGCAGATCACATCATGGCAGCTCTGTGCAAGCCAGTGGACCATGCATTTGAATGCATGAGACACAGGCAGGCTGTGTACTGAAAGGCAGGCATTTGAACGTGTGACCAATTTAGTTCTGATTCACCCAGCAGTAAAATTTGTTGCTGTTGGGACAGAGCTAACAAATGCCTAGGGATTGCATTATGTGTCTTCAGATTTTTAAAATCAGGATGGCCAGCAGGTGTGCTGTGTGTTTGCAGCTTTTATAAACTAGGACAGCTTGACTTGCCACTAACTTGCTCATGTCGCCCTGCCATAATGCAAACCCTGACACTGTAAAAGTTAGCACATGGACAGATGAACATGTTAATCTGCTGTAGCAAGTCCAACTGCCACAATTTTTAAAAAGCTGCAAGCACATGACTCATCCCCCAGAAGCAATATAGCCCACGTCTGTGTGGGAGGGCCAGCTGGGATCCAAAGATCCCCATTGTCCACAGCTGCCCAGTAACAATGACATTTGCAGTGACCACCTCTAGCAGCAGCAAGACTGACAGGAATGGCTTTGTTGAGAAGCTGTAGGGTCTGGGAGCTAGTTGATTTCAGAAACATTTTGATTTGGTATTTTCAAAATTAACTTTCCTCAAAAATCCCAGCTTGAGGAAAATGTCAATAAATTGTTGACAATTTGGACCATAACAAATTTCATGGAAATAAAATCCCCTGCATCTGTAAACCCTGGCAAGAAATACTCTGGAGTAGAATTAATGGTGCCCACCTGGTCTGGTTACTTATGGTTAGTCAGCAGCATTTCTCTGTACCTCCATTCAGGATCTTACCACCTTACACTTTATTGGGATATTAACACTTAGCCATAACAGCAATCAGTAAAAATCAACATTGTTAAGATGAGAAATATTGTTAAGTATTTGATTGCTGATTATTTCAGCAGAAGCATTCAGCTATTCTGGGATTTTGAACAATCTATAAATGATGATGAGTGCTATTTGCTAGCATGATTAGAGCTTAACTAGAATTGTAAGGTGCTCTTTGGCAAAGTTGGAATTCAGGGGGCCTGCATTCGAGCCACCTCCAATAGCCATCCTCACTATTTAAAAGTATCGTCAACACTTCTAATACAATTTTGCACGACCTCTAGTTGAAGGGTGACCTTTAGCAGGCAGTTGAGTTTTGTAGCTCCCTTGAGAAATGGCTTAGAGCAGATTTCACAGTATATATGTAACCTTTAGTGTATGGGTAAAAAAAGGTCCTTCCATATAAAAAAACCTAGGCAAAACTATTTATTTATAGTTCCTCTACAAATTTTCAGTGACATAAGCAAGGTTTCTGCTTTGGTTAGTAGTTTAATTTTGTAAACATTTACACAGTTATAATAATAAGACCCTGACTTCACAATAAGCAAGATGGCAATGCATTGATTTATTCAGTAGACGTTTTGCACCAAATCATATTAGCAAATGAAGTTGTTTTTTTCAATGGCAGGCTATCTTCTTTGATAGCCATATACATTCACACTGGGGTGGGAGGGTTGCCTGGGGAGTCTATCATGCCCTTGGCTTCAGTCTCGTCCACAGTGAGACTGCACACGTGGACAAGATCTCTTGAAGGACTTTGGTGACTGGTAAGTAACTTCTCTTTCTGGGTAAAATCTATGGAAGAACTTTAAGTTCTCAGGGGGGGCGTTTCATGAATATTCACAAGCAGTCACTTTTAGCTTGCTGAAAGTGCTACAGGACTTAGACTGACTGAAGAAAATGCATGTTTAAAAGTTTTTACTTATACTGTACCTTGTAAAAATCAATACATGTATTTACATTTTCATTTGGCCGAGGCAAAAAGATAAGGACGCCTCTAAGGAAAGGGGAATTACACCTTAATCCAGGAAGATGCAAAGCGCTTCCTGAGAGACGCCGAAGGCTCTCGCCTATCATTGATTTCAGCATCTGTTAGGACTGGCTTTTTTGCTGCTTCTACCATGGATCTATGTGTCATATTAATTAGAAGCTGCGTATTTATTACTCCAAACTGCAAAAGTGCTTGTGTGTCTCAGCTGGAGATGGTTTTTTTTAACTGTGAATGTTGCTGGGTTGCTTATGGACATGTCTGACTTGTGCATGCTGCTGGTGATCGTGATGAGAATAAATTGCTTTAATTCTGCTGATATGTGAAATTTCATGCATGTTTGGCATTCTTGTTCAAACAAATGATGGAGGGAGATTATAAGCACTGTGCAGTAAAGTTCATTACAGGGCTGAGAAATGCTGCTTTTCCTCCAGTATCCTGTAATCTCCTATAAAGTTTATTATTGTACATTAACATTTTGGTTTTTCCCCCCGTTATGCTTTTTTTCTTATTACCACTGTGTATGGCAACAAATTACTCCATAGTTATCACTACCACCAAACAGGCCTTGCATAAAACGTGTACATTTATTTTTTACATTATTTATTACATTATATTTAGATTGGTACTATCTCTTTAAGTAATGAAAAAGTAAAACTTCCTGAATGAGAAATTAGTCAGAGGAATATTCTCACAAGGACAATGGTGGAAGCACCATTTCTACAGACTGGACACTGGACAGGGCAAAACATTACGCGGTGTTTTATAGGAAAGAATTTTGAACATGGTAGAGAGAGATGGACTGGTAGAGGCCGCAAAGCTCTTTTTCTTCTATACTTTCTATAGTTCGCAATTCGCTGCTGAGAACATTTTAGCTAAAATGGTCCCATATTCTGGACTGATGATGAGAGGCTGGTGCAAGTATCATTTCTATAACCATGCCATGCTTATGTACTGGATTGCTGTCTCATTCCAAAGGTAGGGCCAGTTTCATACCTGGTGTAAATCTGTTGACTTCAGTGAAGTCAGGGCAGGGATACATGTGGTTTATTTAATCTCTAAAAGTTCTACACTTTTCACCTGGTGTCACTTAGGCTCTTCATTCCCTTTCAAAATAATTCTAGTGAATGGTTTAGAAGCAAAAGCTGAGCATTCATCAGACTGGTTTTTGCTTATTCCCTCACACTATCATGCTTTGGCTTGTCTGAAAGGGCTCTGCATTTTCATGACACTATCATCATCATCATGCGGAACTGTGATATTTCACATATCAGAGTGTTACTGTGGGTTTCTTTTCTCCCTGTGTAATTTTTATTGCTTGTCGGTGCAGTTCCAAATACTTGCACAACATGAGGTATATTTGTTACCCCAATCCAAAGTTTCCAATCTATATTTGATGGAAATAATATTGCTACATACATTTATGCACAATCCTCTAAGGAAATATGCATTTTGTGTATGAAACATGTTTAATGGAGAGAAATATGTGTTTAAACATTTCAGATGCCATGGGGGGGGGGGGGAGATGAGGGAAGTAAATTAATATTCACAAAAAGTAAGAGTAGATTGATTTCTATGTTGGGATTCCAGGTAGGTAAAGGTTGGGCTTCTTTGTAACTATGACAAACTTATTTACAAGTTGCAGAAATTAAAAATGTAGTGCAATGCTACATCTGAGACCCACTTACAAATCTTTGGCCTCTTGAAGGATGAGAAAAACCTCCAATGTTAATTCATAATGAGAGTGATAATTCTGTTCTGATTTGTTTAGCTGCAAATAGAAAGTAGTTTATTGCAGAACTCATTAAAAGAATAAAAAGGGGCATAATTTTTCTGTTGACAGAAGAAATGTATTATTTGATGTTCCCAAGCAGTCTCCTGTTGCTCATATTGCTGCTTTCTCTTATTGCCAGTCACTGATCTGCTCTGTGTGGG